AAAATAGACTGTGAGAGAAATGTAAGAAATGGCAGAAAAGAGACAGTGTTATTTGGAAACAGACTAACCGAATAACTTGGCAAAAATACCAATTGATCTTTGATTAAATGTAACTTGAAAAGGGTTTATTTTTTCTTCACTTTTCAATATTGATCAAATGTGATGATATCCAGGTGAAATTGATGTGCAGATGCGAATAAATGGTCTTAATTTGGGAGAAATAAATACATAACAAAATACTCGATTTACAATGCTGCCAATAATAAATCTGAACTAACGAAAAAAAAAAAACCCTCCACAAAAGACTATATCGTCAGTCGTTATTATCCGCACCTATTAGTTTAGTATAATTAGTAAACACTGACAAAACATATATCAGCTATAATAACAGAGAACGGAAGAAGTGATACAGAAATCAGAAGGTACATCGGAATAGCACAAGGTAGTTTTTTTCAGAAAGTGAATGAGATTCACCCGTCATCTCGAGATTCTTGACATAATCCCCAAAAGGGTCTCTAATGTCATCGATCCTGACGTGGCATCTCAACTTCATTTACTTACCACCGTAACGCCTTCCTGACTTTTCTATAAATATTTTTTTTCTTTCCGCTTCTTTTTACTTCTTTTTCTTTTTTCTTTTTCTTCTTCTTCTTCTTCTTCTTCTTGTTTTTTCTTCGTCTTTTTCTTGTTCTGCTTCTTTTTAATCTTCTTTTTCCTTTTCTTTTTCGTCTGCCTCCTTTTCTTCTTTTTCTTCTTTTTCTTCTTCTGCTCCTTTTTTCTTCTTCCTCTGCTTCTTTCTTCTTATTATCTTTCTTTTTTTCTTCTGCTTCTTTTTCTTTCTTTCTTTCTTCTTCTTCTTCTTCTTCTTCTTATTATTATTATTATCAAACAATTGTTAAAGCAATATTTACTCGCAGAAAAAGATTATTCGTATAATCCAAAAATATGTTTCTCCTTTAAATAACCTCTAAACGGTTGATACACCTTAAAAGAAAAACAAATTAATCTTCTTCGTGTTTTTATTATTATTCTAACTTACTTGACCGCATGAATTTAAGCGCTCTACTAGATTGGCACTTAGGTCTTATCGTCAAATAGCTAGACGTAACCTTAAGTTCTGTTCTAATAATTTCTCTTCTCGTACTTCTCGCATGTTGAACTCTTTCCGTTTTCTTGTATTTCCCCGCAAACTACAATCTTCAGAAATTTAAATGCAGTGTCAATTGCAGTCTTCTATCTTCCTAAACTCCGTTCTTTTATTGTCCTTTCTCCTCACTAAAGTCTTCTCATTCTCTTTCGCTCCCAGTAACTCATTGCATCTTAGTGGCATTATCGCCTTGATTGGGGGTGAAATGATTAAAAAAGATATTATGGGTTCCAAAATGTCCTTAGAAACAAAGAAAAGTGTTGGACTGTTATGTAGTGTCTTCTGTCTCTTGTGTGGTATTGAATGCGAGGCATTTTCATTGCAAATAAAAATTTGAAGCGACCTAGATGTGATCCTAATGACGAACGCTGAGAACACATTGGAAAGAGCCTGGGCGTAAAAAAAACTAGGAAGTAGTCACCCATCTAGGTATTGGCTAGGCTTGACGTTGCTTAACTTTGATGATCAGACGAGAAAAGGTGTTTCAATGTCATATGGCCATAAGACTATGAATTATAATAGAAAAACAACACTGGTTGACATTTTTTGACTCAAATGTTGTTGGCCAATGGGCACATATTTTTGGGTTTTTTTCCGGTGAATCTGAATATCAAGTCCATTTTGCCCCATCTGGGCATATTGATGACAAGAAAAATCTAAGGAAAGCAACGAGAAACTTTCAGTGACTGTTTAGAGGAACAATTGAAGCAAATACAAAAATGAATATTCGAATTTCTGAGATGAAACCTTTTTTCTTCTTTTCAGCCTGTGAAGGTACCCTCTCTTGGACGTAGGATTTTCTCTAGGTTCATGGAAAAAAATGGGTCACGACCTTACCACACTAATGAGACAGGCATGGGTGATCATGTCTCTTTTCACCTGATTATTACACAAGGCCATTTGTGTGTAAATGAATGTAACGAACGAGGATGCAATTCGAACTCAGCTCTCTGATTTCTCCTTCTGAGTTATTATCCCTTAGACTATCAGCAATTTGCTTGCGGCCATATCACGTAGAAACACCGCTTCTCGTACGACCACGGAAAATGAGCAACGCCCAGTCTGGCCAGTACCTAGATGGGTGACCGATTGGGAATACCAACTGCTGTAAGCTTGTGCCCGTGGTGTAATGGATAACGGCTCGGAATTGAAAATCGGAGAGCTGAGTTTCAATTCCAGTAGAGTTCGTTATATTCCCGTGGGAAATGTATGAAGCCAGCTCTTTCCCTCTCTCCCCACTTAATGATCAGTAAATCATTATTAGCCCTAAAATAATTCTTAGAATCTAGAAATATTTTCTGGCTTTGAATAAGCAGCAGAAAGGTTGGTAAGCCGTAAAAAACAAATCATTCAATAACTCATTGAAAACATTTGGATTTCTCATTCTGTACTGTTATCAACCTGCTCATCGCACATCCAAGAACCCAGCATATGTCATTCGAAAGCTGTTATTCATCTAGGTAGCGACTAGGCTCGACGTTGCTCAACTTCGGCGATCTGGCGAGAACCGGTGTTTCAACGTGATACGGCCATAAGGCTCAAGATGAAGCATAAAAATTATTATGCGTTTTCTATTTGTGCCTGAGTTTTATTTTTTTACTTATTTAATCCTAGTAGTAATAAAATTTAATAGTTTTAAGTTATCTGGATTTCTTAGAAGCATTGATATTTATTATGTTCGTTTTAATACTGTTTCTTCTATTTTATTTTTCTTAATGTACAGCACGAAATATTAGGTTTGGTTTGTTTTGTTTTACGGCATATCAACCTCAATGGGTCATTTAATCCCGGCAACTATACTTTCCTAGTAATATTTTGTTTGGTCAAAAATCTATTTCTGTTAATATTTTTTTTCCTCAAAAATGTATAGCTGGTAATATTATTTTTTCAAAAACGTATAGCTGGTAATATTATTTTTTCAAAAACGTATTGCTGGTAATAGTTTTTGTCTTCAAAAACATATTGCTGGTAATATTTTATAATGCTTTTTACCTCAATTTCGGGGTTAACTATTTGCCCATAGCTGGGCCCCCTAACAGGTGTTACCACCCCGGGTGAGGGTGGACCTGGGAACACCAGCAATTAAGAGGTAGTTCCACGCTCCTCAAAACCTCCTGATCAGAGGCCTTGCTGTTAAATGTAGTTTATCTTCTTACGCAGAACGCAGATATAGTTTATCGTCATACCCAGGACGGAAATATTAGGAAGACTATATCTGTTTGTGAAAGGATATTATAAATAACCCATAAATTATAATGGGATCAAGCCGCCTGCACACGAATAGAATATAAATTGAGTAGGTACACTAAAAGAGAAATGGGCCAAATCCTTGATAATATGCCTCTAAGACATACAGGGTGGGACCTATAGGATGTAGTAATGAAAAATGTGTGAAAGGGAAATATTTTAGATATGTAAAAACTGATCAAATAGGAAATAAAAACTTTATTTAAATTAAATATAAACTAAATCTTTTATTTCACTCTTTGATTGGATGCCCTCCCGATATGAATACCCGGGATCGTCACACCCTCTGCCACCCTTCGGCACGCTACTGGACGTAAGACAAGGATGTGTCCTCTTACCGGATTTATGCAACCTCTACAGCGATGCTATTCTAAGGGAACTGGAAAACCTACCAGCATTTATTATCGGTACAATTGTTGGAACAATCGGCACTTGTCTGGGCGGCCCTTCTGCAATTGACATCAACACAGTGTCATCTTATATTGTTAAAATATAAGATGACACTGTGTTGATGTCAATCGCAGACTGGCCGCGCTGACAAGTTAATAAAGGAAACGTGGAAACTAAGCATCAATCGTAAAAAGAGAGAGTGTATGGTTTTCATAAAGAGAAAAAGCACAAGATGCAAACTACGTAATCCAATAATAAAGTATAGAAGTTTAAATATCTTGGAAATATTTAAACAGAAGATGGAGAATGTGACACCAAAATCAGAACATCCAATTGAATATCAAAAGATACATTCCCAAAACTAAGCAGAGTATTAAGAAACAGGAAAATTTCGTTAGAAATAAAGAAAAGAGTACTGAACTCCAATATGATAGTGACTGCTGGACAATTTCCTCACAGATGAAGGGAAGACTCGAGGCTACAGTGATGTGGTTCTACAGCAGGATGTTGAGAATATCATGAACGGAACGTGTAAGCAACGATGACGTCTTAAGGAAAATTATATTTCTTGGACTCATAATGAGGAAGGAGGGCTTGGAGAATTTGGCACTCACAAAACATAACATAGGTAGAGAGGAAAGAAAGAAGCAGTGGGCCACCTACCTGAGGAATTTGTGTGAATGGGTGGCGATATCTGCGAGTGAGACGGAAGGTAAAAAACAAACGCTACTAAGAGCTAAAAGGGATTGGAAGTTGTGAAGGGCCATGATCACCCATCTCCTATTTGTACGCTGCACATAAGCCATAAGATGTAATAGAATTAAGTTGTCTATATTTTGTAGAGGAAGCAATGTTAATTAATGTCTATGAATTTCTGACTAGAATTTCTTTGACCGTCTTTAGGTTTTTCATATTTCAAGACAATTCGCGGAAACCGTATTCCGAGTTGTCAATATGGTTAGAATCTACGAAGGGGAATAATCACGCTACTTTAGAAACAAAAGATGCAATAAGAGAATCAGGAATTTATATTGAAACCTTTAAAAAGAGCAGCAATTTTTTTCTTGTACGCAAACATATCATTACATAGCTGTATAATTAGGAGGTACATGCATTACAGGTGAAAAGTTTAGGGCCATCCTGCATTTCTTTAAATACATATCAAAATGAGATATATTTGTAATTTTTTAAAGTAAAATATAGAATTTCAATGACT